TTGATCTATTGTATTCCTGACAAAATCTTGGGCAAGTTAACTGCTATTGATGGGTGTGATGGGAAAAACAGTAAGGGTTCAACTGTCAACACTTATGCTTCAGTTTAGACAACTGCTGCCTATCCACTACCTGGTGTTCATACCTCCCATTTTTTAATATGTAATTGATATCCTTATCTAATGGGGTAGATTTCCATAAAACATAGTAAGGGAGTTTCATTTTATTATCGAGAGATTAAACATGTGAGCTGTAAAGCCAATATTAAGGAGGCATGCTAAACACTCTCCCTTTGATTTTCCTGAGCTTCTCTGTATAGTCACCACTAAACAGTGCCAGCTTCCAAATTGTTATCGAGAGATAAGGGACACCAAACATGAATTGACTAAAATAAATTATGCTCAACCCACAGTCCTTTTAACTACCCTATATGGCCAATAAGAAATCTGGACAGGACTTGGTGCATCTCAATTGGTCTCTAGAAGGAAAACAAATCCTCTGATTAAAACAGAATGTATTTTGCCAGTGTAACAAGTCAAAATGGCATCAATTTTGCAATTCCTAAAGAATTGTTATATGAATCATCTATAGGTTTTTTCTTTTATGAACTGATTTTTTTTAATGATTCTAGGGATTTAACCCAGGTCCTTGAGCATCCTGTGTAAATACTCTACAACTAAGCTTCATTCCCAGCTCAACTGCTGGTTCTTGTACTGACTAAAGGATATATTAATATTATTGGGGCACAGATACACCCAAGATGTAATTAAGGTGACTAATAGAATTTTATTACATAATATTAGCATTACAAAGACAAGGGCATTTCATTGAAATATTGGTATTAGCCACTTGTGCTGTATGCATTCAGAGGATGAAAAAAGGGAATATATGCCACTTTTCACTATGAACCAACAAATGCCATAATGATTGGGACTCAGTAAGTTACCCAGAAAATTAAAGGATTATGGTTAAGAATTGTTATCAAAAATAAGCTATGTACCCTTTGTAAGTTACACTTAAAAGCTCTCAAGTGGTTTAGAAAACTAAAAAGCTTGGAGAAATGCAATGTACATTAACCATTGGAGGCAGTAAGTGTTCCCAGAAAATCTAATGCCTATGACCTTCAACTCTAAAGAGATGTAGTGAATGAATTAATGCTATGAATATAAATTTTACTATTAATCCTAGTGAGTCTTGTAGTTAAATATAAGCATACTGCAGAATAGAATGTTCAACTGCAAATAAAGTTGTTATTTTTGTCTATTATCTGAGTCCAGACTTTTTTTAGAAAAATATAATTTAGAAAGACATATGAAATAACATGTTCTAATGGCTCTTCTGTACCTGAAGAAAACACATTTGTTTTCCACTAGATCAAAGTATACGATTATAAAGGTTTGAAAAGCAAATTTCCATGTCTCAATTTGAGTCCCAACTAAAAATATTTTTAGTAAAGCCATGGTAAATGACCTATTTTATCTTGATAGTTTATTTGCATATTTGTCCAAAGTCTTTAAGTATACTATACAGTTTATTGGTCAGTTACTCTGTTTTCTACCTCTAAGATTTCTAGTAAAATGCATCCTGTGCATTAACAACAACAAAAAAAATTTCTCTACTGGATATTGAACCCTCATTTAGTCTAGGAAAGTGCTCTACCATTGAATATATCCTCAGCCTTTTTTAAAGACAGGTTTAAGATAGGTTTCCCAGCTGGCCCTGGAAATTGTAATCCTCTTGCTTGTCTTCCCAGTAACTGTGATTACAGTTGTGCACCCCATGCCTCGCTAATGATTTGGATTTTTGTTGGATGTTGTGTCATGTGTTTCTCATATCAACCCCAATAAATATTTTAGCCATTTTATCTTATGCACCGCTAAGATATATATTTCTCTCCAATTGTATACTGTTCCATTACTGTCATTTCTCCCAAAATGGGCCCTTCTGATGATTTTGGATATGTAGAAAAATGTTTTGTTCATGTGTTATAATTAATGGGCTTTAACTAGTATAAGTAAGTGAATTTATACTATAATACAGGATCTTTTCTTTCCTTATACATTACTAATGTAGTATACATGTCTTAATTATTACAGTATATTTCTTCTGTATTATGTAAATAGAGTAAGTTGTTCTGATATTTGTGTAGTATTTGCTAGTATGAACCCACCATATTTTACTTATGCATTCCTATAGTGAATGTTTGGTTCTATTGCCATCATTTCAAAATCTTTGCATGAACATAATTCCCTTGTTAACTTTTCATGTGTTCCTCTCTGGATGTATAATAAGGGTTCGAGTGATAAGAGTGAAGTGAATAAATATTTTACCCAGGACTATCAGGCTGCCCACCAGAATGACTGCCCAGGATAATCTAATTATGTGCACTAGGACTCCAGTTTAAGCCATAACCTCACCGTCTCTGGTACCATCTACTTCCTGATAGAATGAGTTGAGATTGAGCCACTTTTTTCCCTGATTCCTGGTAACATTGAATATGTACTCTAGAGTTGTTACATAATTGAGTTTCCCTTTCTGTATATTTGCGATCAAACCTTTAAAATTTTATATTTTGACTTAATGGGAAACGAGTATGTTTTGTTCATTGCCTGTTTTTTTTTTCAGTTAGGTTGATTACAGTTTTGCACCCCATGCCTGGCTAAAAGATGTATTTGAATGAATTAATGCTATGAATATAAATTTTATTATTAATCCTAGTCAGTCTTGTAGTTAAATATAAGCATACTGCAAGCTCTGTTGGTTTAATGTAGATGTTTGCAAAATTATATAAAGAAATAGATAGTGTTATGTTTTGTATGAGAGGTGCCCCCCCCCCAACCAAGCTCACATTTGAGACAATGCAAGAAGTTTCAGAGGAGAAATGATTGGGTTGTAAGAGTCTTAAGCCAATCGGTAATTTAATCCAATGATAGGGATAAACTGAGTGGTAACTGAAGTGGTAGGAGTGTGGCTGGAGGAGGTGGGAATTGGGGTGTGGCTTTGGGTATATATTTGTTTCTTGTGAGTAGAGTCTTTTTCTCTGCCTCCTGGTCACTGTGATATGAGCTGCCTTCCTTCACTATCCTTTCCCATCATGATGTTCAGGCTTAGGTAGTGCCCTGAGGAGTGGAGCCAGCCTTCTATGGACTAAGAGCTCTGAAAGTGTGAGCCCTCAAATAAACTTTTTCTCCTCCACAATTGTTCTGGTCAAATCCTTTAGTCACAGCAGAAAAAAAAAAAAAAATTACTGAAACAGATAGTAAATACTTAGGCTTTGTTGGTGACAATGGCCTTTGTCATAACTACTTTGCCATGAAAGGGCAAAAACAGATAATACAAAAACATTTCTGCAAAGTTAATGCCTGTATTAGGACCTAAAGCCCAAGACATGGTCCCCACTCATGTTAGGGACGATCACTCAACTATTGCACACTATCATCTTGACACCCATTTGCTGACTCATCTGCTCTCCTACAATGTCATAAACATACCAAGAGCCCAGCATCAGCTCCTGCTGCTGACAGCTCTAGCACCAGCAGTGCTGTCAGTACCTCAGCCTTTGTGACAGCCCCAGCTGTTTTAGGACCAGTTGAGAGCTCCATTCCTGCCACCTTGAAGATTCACTTTTAACGCCTACTGAGCAAGCACTGGAATAGTGAAAAACATTTCATAAATGAGTAATCCCAGTTTTCAAATGTATATTTGCTATGGATGTTAATAAAATTCAAATCTAAATATATATAGGATGACTTCAAAGTCAGGAGAAGAAGAATATATTCTTCTTTAACATCTCTCTCCAAACTACTCACTTTTTCTCCCCTTTTTTCCTCCCTCCCCAACTTACCAAGTAGCCTTCCATAGCCACAGGCTTTTTATACTCTTGTTTGACTGTCTGAAAAAGTAACTGGAGTATAAATAGAAACAGAAATTCATTTATTTCTGTGGTTCCTTTTAGTTTAAACCAAATTAATTGGTCCTATCCATTATAGATTAATTCTGACATCCAAGAACAAAAAAAATTTTATAAAGATTATAGTCATATTCTTAAATATCTAAAACTAACATTTTTCTTTCTACTTCATAGAAAAATAAATTCATAATTTAAAAATGCACCTTAATTAAAATATAGAGATGATAAATTTTATGTTATATGTTTCTTATCACAATGAAACACTATACAAAAAGTCAATCATAATGCAAAAGGGTGATAAACATAATAATTTATTTGTAGATGCTATTAAATTCTTATTAAAATGTATATGTTAGTAATTTTTACTGTTCTCTTTCTTCTGGCAGGTATATTTTGAGCACAAGGTATAGATATGCATTTCTCTGCATAATAAGGAAGTCTGTACTTAGTAAAACATAGTTATATAAAAAGCTGGAATTGTAGTCAAAACCCAAAAAATTCATTGGCCTTGATGTTCACATAGTAACAAGAATATGACATTACTGGTAGAATGAAGATGGTATGTGGAAATCAATGAGGTATATAGGGGAATCCTGTGTAGGCCCAGATATAACAGTCATTGAATCATAATTCCAAAGTTTTCTGAGCTGAAAGGACCTTGGAAATGACCAAATCCATCCCTGGTGTGTTTCAGGGTGTTGGCTCTGCATGTGTTGCTGTGGTGGGACAAGCAGGGTCAGGCATCTGTGTCTTAACAGAGCTCTCAGGAGAATCTGATGCATATACCACTGACTCAACCAGGGAAGTAAAGTGACTTCTGAGTAGAGTGTCTCAGAAATGGCACAGGAGTTACATCCCCAAACCTTTGGTCTCTATTCTAACTATGACCCAAAGCCCCCTGCTGAGACTCCTGATGTTTTACATTTTCACTAGAGAAGTATCACTAACTTCCAACATCATCAATAACCTCATCAAGATGTGTTTTTATATCATCATAGATTTTTGTCCCCTAGAAATAACACAGGTTATTACAACACATTTTAGATTTCATATTTTAATACAGCATTAATATATATCTGTTATTTATTATAGAATGGCAGATCATGGATTCATCATCTATTAAAACTAGAGGTCTACTAACCTTCCATGCATTTTGAAGGTGAGAAAACTCATACTAGAGATATTATTAACTTTCTAAGTGTTTCAGTAATTTAATTCTCCTTTTCAGATCAATAAATTAGACTGGACTTCTTTACTGTTTGATGAGATGAGCTAATATAACAGGTCAGTTGTTTTGGCTTGGGTTCTTTCATGTGTAATTCAGTTTGTTGTGATTTTTGTGAATATTTTCTATTAAAAATATTTTTTTCTGAACAACAGTATGCAGGCAACTGATCAAAGGCAAAAATATCTGCATTGGTGAAATAAATTGCGGTGTTCCTTTTTAATATTAGGGTAATTCATGGTAAATTAAAGGGGATTTTAAGAATCTTTTTTTTAAGAAGTAACAATTTTAGGTAGGTAATTGCGAGAAGGATAGTAGTTATACAAGCCAAAGCCAGATGATTTTTCCACAAGCTCCACGGAGATGGATCAATGCCTTGGACTGTCAAGTATTCTTCACCAGTACATCTAAAATTCAACACAAAATTTCTGATTACATTTGTAGCATCTGTCAAGGTTTACTCAATATATTCACTATTTCTTTCTTAGAAGCCAATAAGTAACCAAATCATATGAAATCATCACTTCATATATAATACCTATCATGGAGTGCTTAAAATTTTTCTAAATACTGTGCTAAGCACCTTGCACCTAGTAAGTTAGGGAATTCCTAAAATAACCCAAGGGGGTATAGGTATTACACACATTTCAAAGAGGAGGATTCATTAATAAGAATGAATGAAGTTGTCCAAGTTTACAGTCACACAATGAACCAAGTTCTAGTCTCCTCAGATTCATTCCATTTCAAATTTATAATGCTACTCTCCTCAAAGGAAGTATTGATGAAGGAACTTTTCACCATTCCTAGTGGGTAAAAGCTCAGCTTTAACTGATGACACCTATAGACCTTACTGAGAGCATCAAAAGTTCCTTCTGGTTTGGCTCACCCACAGAATAGTTATCCAAAAAACACAGGCAAGAATTCTACAACTACAGATAGAGGAAACAAATGCTTCTAGGCAGTCAGGATCTGTCAGCTCTTGTACCATGATGGTAATAATCATCACAGACACTCCACTACAGAAAGATACCCAGGAATCAGACTTAGGTAGCAGCTGGAACACAGCAAGATGGAGCATTCCTGCCACAAGGTAGAAAAGTGGCTCTTAATAAAAAAACACCTTGTGCAGTCACAATTATTGCCTGCTGCCATTCTTGTGCATCTCTTGGAATTCAGCCATTTCAAAAATATCCTTAACCTCTCTGTGCTATTAGAGGAGCTTCTTATTTTCTCTTATGTGAAGGAGCCTTCTGTGAGCATGAAGCCTGTGGTAGTTTCTCCTTATGTGGTCTAATGTTTCCCGTCCATTTCATCCTGACTAAATAGCCTGGCACTAACTTTTTGTCACAAAGACTATGCCCAGCTCAAAACAAAAAGAGTGGGTAAGGAAAACTCCTCTTAGAAGAGGCTTTATCAATCATTAACAATAGGGTTTGTGTCTTTACAAAGACTTAATACCACACATTTGAGAAATCTAGGAGAGATTGAGCATGCCAGATTCTCTTTCCCCTTGGTAATTTATCTGTTAAAGTCAAAGATAACAGCAATCATAGAAAACAAAAGTAGTATTAAAAATTAAAAATGAGATCTTCTAAATTGATTGAAATTTGCACTTCAGTTTTAATGACATTATTCAAAAATAGATTTTTTTGTAAACTAACTGAAATATGTATTTCTTTCTCTAGAGTATATAGCCTTTGATAAGGAGTATACTGAGTCAATGTATAGACATATACACACACAAACACACACACAACTATGCAGGCTTTGATTTCCCATAAGTGTGAACAAAGAGAAGGGCCGGGATCTCAGCAAAGCAACGTTAACCACTTTTATGCTACTGCTATTCTTTGAGCTATTACTAATCTCCAAGGGATGGGCTCACTGGTAGCACAGAATCCAAGTGATCAGAGACTATGATCCTTCACTAAACTGGCAAAGCAATTAATTTCAAAATCAATAGTTCTGAAAAAAATAAGAACTGAATCCCACAACTAAAACATCAGAACAATTTCTCAAAAGGCTCAAAACAAATATGTCTCCACATTAAACTTAAACACAATTTTATGTTCAATACAGGAATTGTATGGGTGTTCATATATATTACTGTACAAGGACTCATATTTTAAGTAATAAAACTTAGAATCAGGAAGTTTTGTTAGCCTTGAAAGGAATCAAATCAGCTTTAAGCCTGGGGGCCTTTCTTAATCACATCATAGGAGTAATCAAACCCTTTGTGACACTGAGCACAAACTTACATCACATAGGTGGAACAGCCACTGCTTTTTGTTGTATTGAGTCCTGGACAGAAGTTTTGTCCCCCAAATTCATTATACTGCAAAGCCTATAACAAGGGGGAACAGAAGTGAAACAGACCTGGATTCCAAAAGTTTCCCAGAAATTATCCCAATGATGTCAAGTGTAATCTTAATTTTGTATTTACAACATGCCAAAGTCTCATATTCATAGTCTATTTCCCACAAAATACCTTATTTTCCCTGGAAATCAAGAGGCCTAAGCTTGGGATGTTGCTTCCCATTGGCCAAGAAGTCATTCCTTCATTTCTTCCCAATTTTATAGTCCCATAAACACTACAACTAAAATAATACAGTGGTGATCAAAGGTAATGTTGATTTATGATAATTATGTTTTCCTCAAAACTAGTTGTAATTATGTGAGTTAGAAATTTGGTTATACATGGATGGACAGTCACTTTGGAGTTGATTGGCTTGCTAAAGCCAATACAGTTAAGAGTGTATTATGGTCTTATTTTTGCTTCTTCTATTTTCCCTAATTTCTCTACAACCTTCATCTTCCTCGAACAATGAGGTGATTGGGGAAAATCCCATGTGACTCCTGGAGTTTGTACTAACTGAGGCTAATAGGAGATTTTCAGTCGTAAAAGGTAACTGCTGGATAGGACACCTTCACTGGTCATGGTCAAAGCAATATGGATAGGCATTGTTTTTGTTGCATCCAGCTTGAGAATACATTTCCTATGACAGATGAGGACAACTTACCATATAACCATAGTGAGGGATACTTAAGTACTGAATCCATGACAGCCAAGGGGCAAAGTTTCCAAAATCCAGTGAAAAACTTATCAAAATCTAAAAAAAAAAAAGCAAAAACCATGAAACCATGAATCGGAACAAGTCCAGTGATTTTACGAGAAATTCTAGATAAGTCTCTCCAAGAACTCTAGAATTTTCTATACACTTCTGCTAGGACCAACTCTTTCTTAAAATTTCTTCAACTTATTCTAGACAGTAAGCTTCATCCTTCATCCCTTGCATATCTATACCTCCACACAGCTAAGATAGTTTATGTATTAAACGAAGGACAATATACCTATAGTCTGTATTATACATTCATTTATTTGGGAGATTCAGGACAATATTATCTATATTATATTTTCCACTTATTTGGAAGATTTGTAATGATCAAGACTAAGTCCTCTAATTTCTCTGTAACTGCACATAAAAGAATACCAAGAAGTACAGTTATCCTTTGGTAGCCCAACGGTATTGGTTCCAGGATATCTAGTCCACAGATACCAAAAATCTGCAGATGCTCAAGTCCCTTATTTTTTAAATGGCATAATATTTTCATGTAACCCACATACATTCTTTATGCATAAATAAAAATATAGTGTGTTTTAAAAATCATTTTAATATTTCTTGATGCCTAATACAACATAAATACTATGCAAATAGTTCATATGAATAGAGCAAAATGACAAAGAAATAAGCACATATACTCGTTGTAGACATAATTTTTGCTTTGCATAGTATTGATCTGCAGTTGGTTGGATCTTTGAATGTGGATCCCATGGACATGAAGAGCTGATTTTACTGACTATTCAAATTATACTAAATCATATGTACCCAGTAAGGAACCTGACAGTCTAAGAACAATCCTAAGCATCACATGCCCCTTTCTACTTTCATACAACATGTAATTTGTTATTCACAAGGGTCGACACTATATATCCATTACATTAGGAATCATCTGGAGCTCAGAAAGGAGGCCTTAGAAAACCCAAACCCTAGACCTGATAAACAACACAATGTGGTGAAATACAGCAGGAAACATAGTCAATCCCTCCATTTAAAGCTACCAGAAAGCAGTGTGGCAATGAAGATGTCAGGAAAGACTTCTGGAGACACACAAGAGACAGCTGTGAGGTGCACATAATGTTTGTCCTAACTGGCGTGAGGTACCCTGGGGTATTCGGAGCAATGACAATGCTGTGGTTTTGTCTGCATGTGTTAAAACTGGACCTAACCAACTGCTTAGTATATAAGTCAGCATCTCCAAGTAAAATGTGATCCTGGGACTGATTTTTAAATTTCTACATAGAAAACCTTACATAATAATTAATCATATCTTTTATTTGTTGTATGACAGTGTAGAAACTATAAACAAGACATTGCTTTTTCAGTGATATACATTGATTTTTGCCAAATTTATACATGAAAGAATTAAACTTTGGCAAGAGCTTATGCTAATTATGTATCTTTGAAAGACAACTCCTCCTACTGTAGAAGAAAGGACATGTGTATTAATAGGATAACCACTCCTATTTGATGTCATTGTGTGGCAAAGGTTGGTAACTAGTTTCTGCTGATTCATCATTGTGAGTGCAAAATTTAAGGCATAAAAGATTAAAACTAAGTAATCATTAAAAGCAAAAGTAAGCAGAAAAATATTGATATAAAAAGCATCAGGAACCCATTAATAGGGTGACCTTGTACTATGAGTTTGGGATTTCCAGTGTTTTTAAAATACTCCTTTGCAAAATGCAAAAGTCATTCAAGTTAGACTCCCCATGTGGCACAACTCTGTTAACGTCTCATGGAACTTAACTTTGACCTTGGAGAGTAATGAACCCAACTGAACTACCTCTGCTCTTAACTAGCTGGCAGTTCTCA